CCCTCTCTACCGCCTTAATCGTTCAGAATTAACATATGAACAATATTAGTTCTCCTGTGGTTTAGTTGTAAGGTTGGGTTTTTTTAATATATATAAATGATTTGTAATTATTTGCTAAATATTACAAAAATATTTTATTGTTTGTTGCATTTAACAGTGTTGGAGGTCAAGATCTTGTACCAAGACAAGATCAAATAAAAGACACTTTTACCTCATGTGACTACAGTGCCATTTGAAAAAAGACAAATGGCCTTGATCTAGTACTAAATGCCTTATTTTCATATTTTCTAAATAAAAGAAAGACATATTTATTTTAAGGGAAATACTTAAGAAAAAAATACTCTCCATTACTGGATTCCTGACACTGAGCTCTGCAGTCTAGGAAATCTTGTTTTAAGATAAAAAATATTAGCAGCTTCCTTTAAAACAAAAACTGAGCAGAACAAGTTACTTTTTTTTTCTTCTTAATGAACATACCTTGAAAACTGATAATAATCCAAATGGAAAATTTGATTCCAGTCTCTCCAGCTTCCCAGACTCTTTCCTTAATATTATAACATTGCAGCCATAGTTTGGAGAGTCTTTGACCAGGAACAACACAACAGATGACAAGATCCAGGTCTAGGAAGCTGGAATGGAACATTCAGCTCAATGGGTTTATGTTAAATAAATGGGAAAAGGATTTGTTTCTAAAGCATACCATAATGATGTTGTCAAGATATGAGATACCTCTTCAAATACCTCAGAAGTTCTTTTGCCTGTGTGATGGTATCTACCATGGTATCAGCATCTACCAAACACTTGCTCTGTCCCTCAGCTCTGTAGAACTAAAAGGACAGAAAATTTCCTGCTCCACAACTTTGGTGGTATTTCAGGGGAGGACAACAAAGATGACACTACTGACCACGATCTAAGAAGCTTTTATGAACAGCTTCAGTAGCATAGTCCTGAAGCTGCTATTAAAGCAAATAGCACTAATATGGAAAATACAGTGGAGGTGGAGGTTGTAATGGTTCTAATCATCACCTTTTCTCTGTGTGTGTTGTTAGATATGTACTGATGCTCCCACACACTCTGTATTGCAGTGACTAATCATAAAAATAAGAGACTATAAGACTGCTCAGGTGATGCAAACTCTAAATATCAGAGGCATAACAAATTATATTTCTCTGGCCCTCTCATTGATCAAGTTTGCTTTTATATGCCTGTAGTTCTGCATTTTCCCTAATATGTATCTACACTCATGATTTCTGTTTGCTCTGTCCAGGAGAAGGTGTTGGCACCCTGGCTTCTTAGCAAGACAATCTATTTGAATGAAATCCTAGTTTAGAGATGAGGAAAAATAAACCTCTGCAAATAGCCTTGAATATTTTAACAGTAAAGCAACACAAAGAGGTGTCCTTTTGGCATCCAGTCATCCTCAGGAATTCAGGTGGTCAGAGTTCGTGACACCACAAAATATTTTGGGTGTTTGGGAAACTGTTGAAAAGTGCTTGAAGCCCAGTTAGTGTTTGGGGAGACCTGTTGTAGCACAGTGCTGTTACATCAACACCCACCCATTTTTCTGAGGGGGGTTTATGTTGGGGTTTTTTTTGGGGAGCAAGTTTTAATTTCAGAATAAGGATATAATTTTTTGTCAGATGGATTTAATGCCAGGGGAGCAGAGGAGGTGCTGGCTTTTTCCATCCTGGCATTTTCCAAACAGCCAGGAACAGGAGTTCAGTCTTGTCCCATTTTGGTTTCAGGAGTCAGAGGTTCCTGGATTGAAGTGACTGAGCAACCGAGGGATAGTCACACTCCTGATGGAGCCTAAGCCAGGACACTCTGGAATTCTTTACCTTTTACAGGCTTTTTCCTGGTTTTTCTTTATCTCATTTAAAAAAAAATGGAAAAAACCAAGAGCTAAAATAATCCCTGATTTAGTTATTCAAAAAAATTTCAACACTCATCTTCATTCTACTTTTATTGTCATGAATACAGCTCTTGGGCTGGTGCTGAGTTATTAAAGGAGTATTATTTATTCTTCAAGAGCCCAAGGATAATGTGTTAGAACCTCCCTAAAAATACAGATTAACATATCCACAAATAATTGATCTAGACAATGCTATTTGGGAAATTCCTATCTGTATATTATTAGAGTATCAAGATTCTCTGATTATGTTATGTTATAATTGAAATTCAATCAACTGGGACATCCCTTGAAGAGACCCCCACCCGAGGATTCACAATTGGCTGTAGGTTGTGGGTTGTGTCCATTGGCAGGACATTCTGTCATTTTTGGAGCTTTATCCTTTCATCTTTATACATATGTTTCCACAGGGTTTTCTTTCATGGCAAATTCCCTCTGCAACTTACCCAAGATTCTGTATCAAAAGCTCTCTTTAGACAGATTTTGGGTCTTCCTGTGAATTTTTGTTTTAGCCCGTTACTCTGCTAACCAGACTCCAAGATATTTTTTTTATCCAAGCTTAAAAGTGGAGCCCACTGTTACAAAACAATTAAAAACTTAATAAAAGCCCTCACTGGATATCATTTAAATATGAAAAATATTTCAGATGCAAATTAAAACTGTTCTAACAGTTGCTAGTTTCTATTAATCAATCCTAAACAAACACTGCAGGTAGATTGGTTCATTTAATAAATGTAATTTGTTGGAAATTTTTAAAAATTTATTTATTTGGTCCCATTTTCTCCATAAAATCAATTTAAAAATAAGAAGGAAGTTTCTGGAGTGAAATAACTTCCAACAGTTTTAAGCAGAACTGCTGTGATAAAACTTTGTTTTAGCCATTCACAAATATATTTTATTAGTCTCATCTCTTATCAAGTAGTTGAAATTTAATTTAATTTCTCTGTCTTCAGTAAGTGCAGCTGAAAAAGAACAAAATCAAATAGAGTGATATAGTTCTGGGAATACAGGAGGTGGCTCTGTTTTAAGGAAGTGAATCATCATCCAAGACATTCGTCTTCCCATTGTGTAAATTTAAAGTACATGGCTTAGCAATAAAAGATGTTAGTGCACTTTGAAGAGCTTGGATTGCTCAGTTCTGCTCTTTTTGACCCCAGGGTTGCTCTCCCTTGCAGCTGCTCTGCATTCTCCTGTTGCAGCCCTGGCTGGCTTGGTTCAGTTTTGCACCTCAGGCCAGGGACTTTTCCCCCAGCCCCTGCATCATTTCCTGCAAGTTCCCAACTTGGTTTCCAGTCCTTCCAAATGGAAGAGATTGGCCAATCTTTGTTACAGTAAATAAATCATGGGTGGTATTTTTAACCTTATTCCTTGCCTGTTCTTTGTGTGTAGTTCCACTGTTTCTCTGGAATGCTGACTGCATAATCTCTAACATGGAATGAGAGCACTGGGACACTGGGCAGGGCCAGCCACGCTCTGCCTGCTTGGCTGCCCCTGGTTTGGTGTCATCAGGGCAGTGCAGCAGCACTTGGAATAAGAAATTAGGGAAATGAGCAGCCTGACAGCCCTGGGACCTGGGGGTCATCTCATGTGTAGCAGGGCAGGAAGGTCCTTCTGGCCTTGGGACCGGGTTCAGGGGATTGTAGGGAGACAATCAGTGGGATGCAGAGGAGGAGGAGGGAAAAGATCCCTGCAGGCAAAGGATGGGAGCAGAGCTGAGATCAGGAGTGTGACAGCAGCGCTTAAGTGAGGAGCTGAAACAGCTCTTTTTTATTTATTTTTTTTTTTTCTTTGATAACTGTGCACTGGACTAGTTCAGTTTCTAAGCAATGATTGTTCATTCCAAATCACATCACCATAGAAGAATCACAGAATATTCTGGGTTGGAAGGGGCTCCCAAGGATCATTGAGTTCAGCTCTTGAATGGCCCATGGAGGCATTAAACTCACAACCTGGGTGTTATTAGCACCATGTTCTGACCAGCTGAGCTCAACCCAACCTTCTGACCTCATTGATTGAAGTTATTCATAATTTATTTGTAAATACGCCTTGAAGATGAGCACAAAGTTAATATTACAGGAAAAGCAGTAAATGACACTACTGTGTTTGAACACAGACTTAAGCAGAAGTTAAATCAATTACGGTGTTCATATCAACCAGAGACAGTAGCAGAAATTCTGGAGTGGATTTGTGGCACAAAACCAGCCAAACAACAAAACCCAGCAGCAGAAAAAAACATTGCAAAGAATGAAAAATCTTCTTTTTTGGAATATTGCTGGAAAATCAGTACAAAGTTAAAAATAGACCCCTGTAAAAAAAATCCAAAGATGGCAAAGAATATAATCCATGAAAATCAAACTACTTTTATGTCCTACCATGAACCATTATTTTATTGCTTTTATCTATGTATGGAAAAGTCTTGAATGAAATAATACTGAAATTGTTATGTTTGTCTAACTTGTAACATATCTTAAAATCGGGCAGAGCAGCTGCTGTTCCTCTCACTGTGTTACAAAATTGTTCTGTAGCATTCTACCTGGTAGTCTGCTGCTTTTATAGTTGTACATTCTTTTAGCTAAATCTTGTGAATGTAAAGAAAATGGTAGAACAAGCTAAAACAGCCCAGCATGTTTCCAGTCAGAAATCCAAGGCTGTCAGTGAGATGCAGAAGCAGGATGCTGTTCAGTCAGCTATAAAACACAGGGAGACAGAACCAATGAGCTATATGAATGTATAAATGGAAAATTAAAAACTCTGACCCACTAAGAGTAGATGAATGTTACTGTAAATGAATTATTAGTACCATGTGCTCACTGGCAGGCTCCAGGTCTGCATGGACTGGGAGCTCTTCCCCATTGCACACGTGATGGATACTCGAGGTTGTTGCATAGCAGCCTGTCTTAATGTTTATGTATTTGTGCCTTTCCAGCTCGAAACAGTACATTTTAGGACTGCACATGCATTGGCAGGGACATCTATTTCTAGAGAGAAACAGAACTACTGCATTAGCAATTCACTTGAAATTCTGCTTATTTTTCCTTTCAGACTGGTGTTGTTAAGTATTTGCATAATATGATCAAGATGTTTGTCTCACCCTCTACATGTGCCACAGTTCTCAAAGTTTAATGGGGTTTTCTGAGGAACAGTGGCTTCAAGCTACCGTGGTTCTTTGTGGCGTCACTGAGCATCTTCCATACTTGTTTTCATGTTGCTCTTTAGCTCATGACAAGGAACAGCTGTGATGACTCAATGATTCTGTGAAGACAGTATTTTTGGAGACTTTCTCAACAACAGATTTGTGGTACAACATAAATATTGATGATTTTTAATACTTGATTAAAATAGGTGGTTGGTTAGGTTTTTTTCTTTAAGTACACTCAAGATGACATATTTGTCACTTTTCCTGTTGTAAAGATGTTTGTACTTATATCTGAACAAAAAAAAACCAACCAAAACAGAACTCTTTGGCCCAATGAAATCCTTGGTCACTCTCTTTATGTCCTTATTTTTACAATAACTCTTTCTAACATGCAATGAATTTTGAAACTTTTATCCTAAAAGGGAGTTCAGAATTAAATCTAATCTATGGTTGCTGCAAACACCACAAAAATGCTGGGTTGCTTGAATCAGGTTCTTATTAAAATAATAGAGCAAGAAAGCTGTGTGTTAATCAAACCATCATTGGTGTGGGGTCACAGGTGGTGAGGGTGGTGCAGAGCCCCTTTTCCATTTGAGCAAAATGAGCATGTGCACATGGATTTGTTACACTCAGGCTCTGTGTTGGTGAAGTGCTCTGTTAATGAGGGTAAATGCTACTTCAGTGCCTACATTAAATAAATATCCCCCTGAGTCCTTCCAGAAGTGCATCTGCATGAGGATTGCCTACCCTGCAGCCACCGAAACCCTTATGCTAGATTAGATCAAAATGTAGCTTCATTCCAAGTTATTTCTGTTGTTTTCCCAGAGCATTTGCCTCATCCTTGTGCTGCTGCTCTATTTGAAGTTACTACGGCAACCTGTCACCATCTGCTATTATAAAGTGTGCCGGGCTTTAGTTGCTAGGTGTTGAAGTTTGTCATCTTACTCATCTGATCCTGATGTTCCTCAGCTGCTGCTTTTCCTGTGCATCCACAGCCAATCTGCACTTTTTCAGCAGTGCAAGAGATTCCACATCTTCCTGCTTGACCTTAGGAAGCCCTGTGTGTTTTACACAATAAGTCTGCAGTTCCTTTTGATGTACTTTGTATACACTCAACTAAAACATCTCTTTCACCTTACCCACTACTTTGGAGTGTTTATAATAAAGCCAGCACTTTATTTCATTTGCATATGCTATTAATTATGGGCAGTTTTAATTGGACAGAGAATTTGAATGTTTCCTGGATATTTTCTCCTCTGTTTTATTTTGATTTGACTACCTATTTACTCATGTTCCTGCTCCTGACAGCAGTGCAGTGTTCATAATGCCAATTGTCCTATTTCTTTACAGGTTTTTTTAAAGTGTGACGGAAAATTGAATAATTAAAATTATCCAGCACAAAATTCAGCGCTGTTTCTGTTTTCATGTTCACAAGGAAATTAATGTATTGAAGTTGGAAAAAAATTTATTAAGTCTCTTTATAGTCATGCAGAGTTGTTTCTGAGTTTTTTTTCTGTTCATATTGTCTCAGCAGTCAAGTGTTTACTTTGATACATTTATTTTTTATACATTTGACCTAGTTCTAATCAATGTTTTCTCCTGTAATTCACAGGCTAAATCCTAACAAGCTTGAGCACAGCTAAAAATGATTTGCTAGGATTCTGCCTGAACTTCACCTTTTCTGCCACAACCTTTTTATACTATTGAATCCCTATGTACAACGTTTGACTTAATGAAATAAGTTTTTTAATAGACTGTTGTGTGATTCTGAATTTCTTCTGCCCATCCTGTGAACACACAGGCTGTGTCCAGGCATAAGAGCTGCTTCTTGTGCAGAACTTACTGTATTCCCAGGCAGCTCGTGCTCTTTGCACACTCCAGTAAGAGGCACTTCAACCCCAGAGGAGAATTTCAGTGAATGCAGGGAGATATTTGCAGGTTTGAGCACAGCTCTGGAGAGAGAGCCCTGTGTTACCCTTCAGCTCTGCCAGTGAGAATGGCAGTGCTGGGGGTGCAGGGGCTCTTCAGAGATCTGAGGCTGCCTCTGAGAAGCCAATATTTATTGCTGCCATTTGGGGATTAGGAGGGAGGGGCAAGCTTTCAACCTATAAAGGTGCTAGCAGATGATTTCTGATAGTTGAGATTGCTGGCAAGAAAATTATTAAAGATCAATCAGTATTTGTAATTCCCTGCTTTACAGTTACGTGGGAAGGATGGAGGAAGTTTTTGCAGCAGACCATCTTTGCTGACACCTTTTTTTGTTATCATTCAGCCCAACTGATGTGAATTTGACAGGTTTGATGTGGGGTCCTGGCCAGCAAGATTGATCTTTGTGTATGGCTCTTTTCAAAGGCATTTCATCTGTTAATTTTAAAATCACCATAACCAGTCACCAAGGCGTTTGTGCTGTACCACAAACACAGACATAGCTAGACACATTTTTTGAAGTTGGTTTTAACAAAAGAAATAACCTCTTTAAAGTCTTTCAGCCCTTAAGCATCATAATATATTTATTCAATGCTTGTGAAGAAATGCTGCTTATTTCAAGCAGCATTATTTGAGTCTAGAAGGCATTCAGTGCTGAATGCTTAACTACTAAAAATACGAGCTGCTTTTCATGTCAATTCTCTAACTTCTGCCGGTAATCTTTTTTCAAAATCGAGACATGAGAAGAAAACCCCCACACAATTTCAGTACCGAATCCTTTGCAATTCATTATTCCTTTCAGCTATGCATTTAACACCACAGCAAAGATTTGTCTGCTCCAGAACTGTAAAAGTGAAGTACTACTGCAGGAAATCCAGCATTTCTTTTAGAAGAGCATCAATACCCGAGAACACACGATTTCTTACCTGAAAGCTTTTGGTTTACCTGCAGAAAATGAGTCTTCTTAGCCTTAAAAAGTAGGCAAGGCTCTCACTAGCACTAAGGTTACTCCAAAAGAAGGTACGATAGGTCCTTTAGGTTGTAATTTCACTCTTTGTATGCAAGAAGTGTGCTGGGTCTGCTCACGTAGGAATAAATAAATAAAGCCCCAGCAGCACGAAGCGAGGAGCAGCTGGTGGAGGGAAGAACAAGACCTCTAGTGGTGACAGGCAGCAGCTGAGGCTGGGACTGCTCCGGAATGGGGACAAAATGGTTGGGTGAGACTGATGTAACAGCAGGAGCCAGCCCAGAGCATCCCAGCAGCATCCCCTGCACATCTGGGCACCCCCCAACCAGGGCACTGAAAAGAGGCAAGGAAAGCTGCAAAATTGTTTGGTGTGCTCATCGATTCTGGTGTTCAAATAAAATCGAAGCATTGAAAGCAGGCTCGTTTTTTAAACCAAGAATTAAAACTTCAGCAAGTTAAAAGGGATCAATTAAGAGGAATCTTCGCAGTCTTAAAGGAAAACTTCAAATTATTCAACTCATTATTATTGCTTGGTGAAGAAACTTTTACAGAGAAAGCTCTGTAAGTTACTGGAAATCATGTTGTATCTTTCAGCATTTTGACTTTAGGAATTGAGAAAGACTAAATACTACCATTTGAGGAAGTTTGAAAGAAGTTTTGAGATGTGAAGGTCATAATGTTCTCTAGAAGTCTGAGAGCTCTCTAATAGCTGCTGAAACACCTACAGGATGTGAAAAATAGCATTTCTTGCACTGTTTCTTCTTGTGAACGTTAGAATTAGTAGAAATTTTTGATTCTAACATATTTTCTTCCCATGAATTCCTAATGGGGAACATCACATGCCTTTCAGGAGTCTTAAGTGACACTGAGTTGTACTTTATATAGGAACTTTTCTTGTCACAATGTGTGTTTCCATGTGGTGTCTCATTAATGATGCAGCTTTCTCACAAGAGCCTGTCCCTTGCCAAGGCAGCTTTTGAATAATCCTTTGGAGTTCTTAGTTTGTTTCTTTCATCTGGGCTCGCAAAAGCTTGAATATTATTTATTTTTACATGCATAAAGGGATTTTTCAGGCATTTCACATGCTTCAACTTTAGAAGGAGTACAATCCAGTATCTTAAGTAATCCACGTGTGTTGATTCTGCCTGGTTTGCTTTCAGAGTCATTTTGTGGCGTGCATGACAGCGATCCTAAACCAGATGAATGACCAGCATTATTCAGTGTACATTGAAACTTTCCAGAAAAGTTCAGAACTAGTGGTGAGTACTAAGTGATCGTGGAGTTGATAGTTACAGTATTTGATTTCCTGTGAAAAATCAGTAGATTTTTTGGGTTTTTTTAAGTTTCTTGTCTGGTTCTTCCTAGAATGAATTCTGTTGCTGTACATTTTTACCTGTGTGTTATTGGACTGCCTCCTTCTTCTAATGGTGGCACTGGACAATGTTGTAATCAGAAATTTGGAAAGAAACAAATTTCTCTGTTGATCCTGGCACCAATGAGGATCTAATGATCCAGCAGAAGTAATGAGATCTTTGTTCTTTACTCATTTGAGAAAGGGGAAAAGAAAAAAGAATAAACCCACAACAAAATAACAGCAAAACTTATCCTCAACTAGCTGAACATTCCCTCCACACTTCACACACAGTGACCCATTTCCATTTCCATTTTCACTATTTAGTCTACTCCTGGTGCAAATAACATTTTAAGCTAAATGCAATAAATTCTAGTAGTGCATCCTTTTATTGCAATTGTTTGTGTCATAATTTAATGGTACCAAAGGTTTCCATAGTCCTGTGCGTGTCCTCTTTCTTTCCTGGTGTAGCTGTTGGGTAAGTCAGGGTAGTGGCACAGGTCTGGATTACATCTACAGTTAGTCCATGGAGGCAATATCTGCACTGGTCAAGAACTGATCACTTTCCTTCCTTTCTTAAAATCAGAGTGGTGCCATAACTGAAATTTTAAATTTGAGCTGAATGGAGTAAAAAATTTAAAAATTCTGTATTTTTTAAACCTATTTGTTCTTATGCATAGCGAGACTAATTCATAAAAAGTATCAAACTTTACTCAGAAGTACTACAACTTTTTCTTTCCTTTCATTTATGCCTTCTATTTTCCAAAGAGAGATATGTAATGGCTTTTAGCTTCTATTTGGAATCTGAGACTGCTGTTCTGCGGGACTTTGGCTCCAATCTCAGATTTACTGATATCACCAGGAGTTCTTCTCTTGGCTTCACTGAGAGCAAAGTGGAAACTCCATATCTCGGCTCCTTAATTACACAGAAACCTTTCCAAGTGTGTGTTACCCAGCCCCAGCCTGACTGCATTTTGTCATTCCAGGACTTCTTGATGGAAACATTCATAATGTTCAAAGATCTCATTGGGAAGAACGTTTATCCCTCGGACTGGATGGCCATGAGCATGGTGCAGAACAGGTAAAGAGGGGGGCAGGACCAGTGCTCCTGCTCTCTCTGCTTGTGGAGAGTCACTCATTTCATATCCTACAAAACATTTTTCAGTGCAGTCTAGGTTTACTTTATCATTCCAGCCTAGGGAATGCCAAGAAGGTCATGTGAGACAATCCATTAAACAGCTTGTTGCCTGCACTTTAAGTCCACTTCAAATGGAAAGAGAAAATTACTTACTTTTTTTTAATTTATTTGGATGTTATCTTTCCTGCTGAACTTGTTCTGGCTTCTTGTTTTCAAAGAAACACTTCGAGTTTTTATTGTGTTATGACGTGAATACACTTTTAAAGCAAAAAAGTACAGGTGACTGTGACAGGTCCCGTTGACAGTCACCTGCACTTCTTTATTTTAGTTTTGTAGGCATGGTGGTAACACTGAGTTTTCTGGAAGTTGCAGCAGAACAGATCTAGGAGTTAAGTGTCAAAAGTGCATAGGTTTGAATGAACTTAGTAAAGAAATGTTGTTTATTTGAAATGTCACAGTAACACCTTTCTTCTACTTTTACAATATATAAAAAGAGAGGACTGAGGATACTTAATAAAGTTGATCCCTCCTGAGAGTGCTCAATTTTGAGGAAAAGATCTGTCAATAAAATTTACAGTTTTTTGATATCAGATTTTGATATTGGATACATTTTCAACTAGGATTTGAATGGAATTATGTTAAATGAAAGGTTGTTTGGGTCTTTTTTTGCATTTTTTGATTCAAAAATGAACATTATGTTCTAGTGGGTGGAGATGGTTCAAGTCAGCTGTCCAAACCTCACTTTGTCACTCATGCACATTAATGACCATGCAGAGGGATCCCTGACCCCTCTTCTGAGGTGGGCAGGTACAGATGTGTAAATTCAGGTAAAATTTTGTACATTACCTGAGTTTCATCCCTCTTGGTTTTCTGTCTGAGCCAGTCTTTGGCCTCTCAGGTAAAATCTAATTCCTTGCACATTCTTGTGCTGCTGCTGTTGTGATTGCAATCAGTTGTGGTATAGCAAGAATTACTCTAAAAAATAACAGTTCAGTACAAAACTACCTACAATCATCAGGCACGTGTCAGCACATCAAACCTTTCATATGTAAAACTGTTTCTCTCATCTAGAAAATGCTGTTGACACCTGCATTATCCTCAGGTATTGGATTATTTTATTCTGTGAGGGTGGGAAGTGTCTGTCCCTGGTCAAAGAATGTCTTTGGGGCTTGAGGCTTCACCTGGTGGTGTCAGGTCCTGACAGTAAAACTTACTTTGGGAGAACTCTGTGTGTGTCATGTGCCTCCTAATGACTCTGAACTCTGTGGACAAGTTGTTCCAGGCAGGTTTTGTCACTCCAAGCTTTAACCTGTGTAAAGAAATAAGACATCATTAAAAAAAAAAATTGTTTAGAAGCTATTTAATAGTTCTCCTGTAAACAAATTGCTTACCTAAAATGACTTGGCACTGTTTATACTCCTTGATTATGTTGCTGTTCTCTGGAATGCATAAGGAAATGAGTTATTGATCTTACTTTATGTCTTAATTTTATGTTATAGCAACAACTGAGAGAGAGGATTTTTAACAGTCTTTATAGAAATTTGGTTTTGCTTTTTTCTTTGTTCGGGTTTTGGGATGTTTTTTTCAGGGAATGAATGTTCTACAAAATAAATTGAAGACTAATTTAGTTTTCTAGATTTGTCTTGTTAACATTCTTTACCACAAACCAGAGAAGTAGCAGAGAAAAAGTCACAGGGGAGCAGGCTTAGGTCTCTTATAATAACACCAAGAGAAGAACAGACAATTAAAACAAAACCCCAACAAACCAAACACAAAAAATATCAACACAGTGCAAGTTTTGCATTCTCTATTGTTGTGAACAGGAGGCTCCATGAAGGCTTTTTACTCCCTGGAGGAGGTGTTTTGCCACGAGTCTCCCCTTTCTGCTCTTGCAAAGAGCTTGGTGAGGGCTGTGGGGCACATCTGGGGTGTGTGGTGTCACCTGGGCAGGGACAGGCTGCAGCTGGTGGCCCTTGTGCCCTCAGGGTGTGCAGCACAGCCTGGCAGGATCCCCTGCATGGTCCTGGGTGTTTTGTGGCTTGCAAGGAAAGGGGGGATTGGAGGAGTTTTGCTGTAGGAGGGACTGCAGCCCAGAGATGTGAAATCAGTACATTCACAGAGAGCAGAGGAGAGGGAAGAACATCACCAGCACTGGTCTGGTCTGGTCCTATTTGCTGAGCAGCACACCCCAATTCCTGTTATCTGCAAGTAAAAACAGTAAAAATTCCTGAGTGATATCAGGGATATTTCAGCTAAAAGTTTGATGTCTGGCAATAGATGGGGACACACATTAGAGAATGACTTCTTACAGAGTCCAAAGGAAGGGAGAATGGGCACATTCTTGTCCAGGAGAAATTCTGGTGGGTGAGTTGAAAGAATTGGTGATCAAACTTAGTTATCAAGCTTTGTCTGTATCAGGATGGAATGATTTAACTCAAATTACTTCAAACCACCAAGATAAACAACTTGCTCTTTGCTTCCCAAACACGCTCAGCCCAAAGCACTTTCGAGGGAGGCAGAAGCTGTGTGTGACAGGCAGTACTTAATGAGCAACAGAGAATGAAAAGGGGGAATGAAATAATGAAATAATGAAATAATGAAACACCTTTTCTTTTTCCTGTTTCCCCTCTTCCATTAACAGCAAGATGGAATGAACACTTTTTTATGCCATGCTAGGTAGGGCAGAACACTTTGGGGAACAGTAACATCATCATTGAGGTCGTGATGATATAATATCTGAGTTGTTTTTCTGATCCTCCATGGTGAATTTAATTAACTTTTGCTCTAATTAAAGTTGCTTACTGCATTCTTCTTATTAGTTACTACTGCTTGTATGTGCACTTTATTCCACTCATGACACTTAGATATTGGCTATTAACTTATTAAAAGCAGTAATTCCTAAGTACATGGCATTTGTGGGGAAATGCTTGGCTGGTTTAGGTAATACCATATAGTCTGTTTATCTTTCAGCTGTTCATAATTTTAATTTAAAGGGATATAATTTCTCCCAGGAAATTCATGTACTTTATTGTCAACATGAAGTGCATGGGGAGTCAGATTGGCTGAGTAAAAGGAACAGTTAGCAGGGTTAGCAACTACAGGGAAAGAGCTCCCATCCCTTCCCTTGTCCTCTGGGCTTTGAAATGGTAATTCCTCACAGGGAGTCTGAAAGTGTTTCATAATTAGTAGCCAGGGTCAGTTTGGTTGGTGCCCACTCTGAAGTGGCTTAGTGAGCGTTTTGATTGTTTCTGTGTCCATTTGGGTTGGTTTTTGAACCTTGCCCACACTTTTTTGAGGTATTTAAAAATAAATGGAAGCAGGGTTTCACCAGCACATTTCAAGGTCAGATCGTACTCACTGAAAAAACTCCTGCAAGATAACACTGTAGGGTATTTTCTAACACCACTAGTTCGGCTTTTTCTAAAAAATGTTTTCATTACCTGTGTATCTGAGTGTTTTCAGACATCTGTCAGAGTCAAGTCTTCCCCAGTGCTTTTTAAGTCTAACTTGAAAGGTTTAGCACTGCAGGTATTTGGCAAAAGAGCTGGAATTGTTGTCAATTTTCTTTCATTATACATACTAAAAATAGCTGCTTACTTGCTGATGAACTGCTTTGTAACACCCTCCAGACGTGGTTCTCATGGAGCTCACACTTGGAGCGCTGTTATTAATTGAGCCAAAGCTCATTGCCTTCAAATCAGTGTCACCTGCAGCCCCAGGCCCTCAGCTCATCCCAGCCTGCCAGGGCTGTGGGCTCTCCCAGTTATCCTGCTCCTGGCCAGGCAGCAAAGGGAGGCAGAATAAATCCCTCTTTGGTGCCCAGCAAGAGACTGCTGGGACTTCTGTTCCAGAGAGGACAGTAGGGATTCCAGCCCTGCGTTTTGTTGGGGTATTTTTGAGTTTTTCTTTTCACACATCACCAGAGAATGGCTCTGTGGCTCCTAAAAGCTTGTTTTCCACACATGTGTGCATGGTCCTGAATACAACCTTGGAATAAACGTTCAAGGCCAGGTTGGGCAGGGCTTGGAGCAACCTGTCCCAGTGGAAGGTGCCCTACCCATGGCAGGGGGTGGAATGAAATGAGCTTTAAGGCCCCTCCAACCCAAATCATTCTGTGATTCAATTAACTCAAGCTGAAAGAAAGAAGAACCTCAAATTAATTAAAATATTTTAGCTGCTTCTCAGTCTTCCATTTATCTGTTGGTGGAAATAAAAACTTGTCACATTTAAAAAAACAAACAAACAAAAACCCATACCAAGCCCCAAATGAATAGTTTAGGTTAGTTAAATAATAAATGAATAGTTAGGTTAGTGAAAGCCAATTCATTTATATAACTAAGGTTGGGTGATGGTGTTATGGTTTATTTTGTGCAAATAAGGCAGAATTTAGAAGGCTGATCTGCTGCATACAAGTAACTCTCTTCTTTGATCTTGTTTTCCTCTGCAACTTTTGACTGATTTAAACATCTTCTTATAGAAATGCCGTTGTTTTTATAAGGGCTTGAATTTTCAGGGGAGCAGAATACATTTATACACAGGCTTATGGCATATTGCAGAACTTAGTAATTTTAATGCATGAAAAAATACTAATACTTTAAGCAACAAGTATAAGTGTCTAACAAAAATATTCTTTTATGCACACTTGCAGAAAAGGATAAATCAGGTATTATAACAAGTGCAAACAAGTGTTACTGTTTAGTCATTGATTTAATTGTGTACAGTGATAGGATGTGTCCTTGGACTGTTTGGCTTTGTTATGAGACTAAAAATGTCCCTGTTGAAATGCAGTTTCCCTGTTAATATGAAGTTCCTTTCAGAGGGAAATTTATTTTTTTATTGTTTCCCATGCTGGGGTATTTGGTACATAATGCCTCAGTGTTCTCAAATTTGTGCCTCCTGTCCATTAAATCCAGATTCTTCTGTTTCCTCATTGTTTTTCTCAG